CGGGCCGGAGTTACTCAGGATGGAAGCTGGCTATAACTGAGGTGTAGAGGTGTCGGTTAACATGGACTCATGGGTTGGGGAAGTGGCGTGACCCGATCGTCCAATAGCATTCGTTTATTCAAATATTATTAACTGGTAGTGGGAAATACAAACGGTTACAGTTCAACGTACATATTTAAATATTGCCAACATAGCCTTGTAAATTATTAAATAGTAAAAACTGTTATATTACTTATATAAATATATTACACCATCCAACTAAATTAACATTTGAAGTTGTGTTTGAAATTGTCTAAGTTTACTTGAGAAAAGCTTATGTGATTTTTTTAGAAGCCCGTGTATTAGGGATGAATTGGTTTGTAGATAGTATGAATTGTGTGGTGTATTAAAAAAACAGAACCACGTGTTCTAATGCGAACAAAGTTGATGTGTATACATGGTAATACATAGAGCTTTTTAAATAAAATTGTCTTGGTTGATATTGTGTTTTTAATGAAATAGTCTGACTTGAGAAAAACTAAATTTTTAATATTAGCTTTCATAAAAAACCTGATGAATTAGTTTGAATGAAACCCATTGAGGTTAACAAAGTTTACATATCAACCATTCACCGGTTTCTTCAAAAATGTTTTGAAATGCAAATAGTTTGATCTTGTCAAGATCAACAAGGACAACTAGGAAGCACAATTAATTGAAGCCAAATTGACGGCTTAATATTCGTCTTCGATCACTTTTCGATTGATTATATTATAAAAAATATAATAACTGTTATTACGTATAACTGATGGGTTATGGTTTAAACGCTGGAATCAATGCGAATGTGAATGTAATATAACTTTTGTAACCATTTTTTATTTTGAAATGTTCACATTCATTTACATATCAATTTCACTGGTAAATAAATTCAAATTACAGTTCTTTTAAGTCAATCTATATATTTTATATTGTAAAAAAAAATAATTGTTTTACTGAGTATATTAAGATAGTTGGCTGGTTAGTTATGTTTTAGTAGTTATGAAGGTCTCAGGTTTGAGAGAATACCATATATTTTGTGTTTTCGCTTATATAATCACCAGCACATGAAGTCCTCTTAAGCAGTTACTGAATCAGCCAAAATGGTAGAATCCCAAACTGTAAGGGTTGGTTTCTAGATTAACACTAGCTGCAACTGTAACGCCCTATTTGAGAAAAATCTAATGACCATACCAGAGGTTTTAAACTTGAAATGTGAATGCAGGGTTCCGAAAAGTCCTAAATGACATTAAATTATGTATTAAATTAAATAATGTATGTAATGTACATTATGTATTAAATGACATCTCTGTGTTTTTACTCCCCTTCACTACAAAAAAATATGTAGCCAAACTAATTACAGTCTAACCTTGATATAACGAACCTCGATATAACAAATTCCTTGATATAACGAATTTTTTTTAAATCCCCTAGAACTCTCCATAAGACACAATGTATATTTTACCTCTTCATAACGAATTAACCATAACAACGACCTTGATTTAACAAATTTTTCGTGATTTCGGCTAAAATAAGACACCTTAATATAACGAATTTATGATTGTCAGAACCTCTACATTGCGAATTTAACCTCTGCATAACGAATAGTCTACGTCTTTCCCTCGATATAACAAATCCCCCACCCCATTATTTAAAAAAAATCTTTTTCTTTATCAAATGAAATGGAAAGGTGACGTCATCGCTTGCAGCTTGCGCTAACATTCGTCTGCTCCGTTTTAACACATCTCTGTCTGCTGTCGCTGCGCATGCTATGTTGCAACTGAGAACTGATTTCATTCACTGAGGACTGATGACGACGTAATGTTTAGTAAGCTATGATTGGGCGATAAGTAACTATGGTGAATTGTACAATTTTTTGATAAAGAGAAACCTAAGAAAGGATATAAAAACAAGAGCAAAGAGAAAGAATAGCAACATTGTTATTTTAACATTCCTTTTACGAGTGTTTTTATTATCTTTAAGTTGGCTATGATTATACACTTTTATGACTTATCTAATAATTTATTGTTTTCAATACGATTTGTTTAAACTAGCAACACCAATGCTATAGTTAATGATTATTATTGACATTCCTCTGTTGTGATAAATCAGTACTGTACTGTAAGTAGCCTACCGGCCTATCACGAGCAGTAGGTTACAAAACTTTCTACTGTTTGTTTTGTTCTTTACATGGTTTAAGACTACGCAATACAGTGTCTGGCTAGGTTTTAGGAGGGTTAGAACAAGCTGTGATTTCAAACTTACAGTTGTTAACCTGTACCAAGGTCAATGCCATTTTCATGATTGCGCAATATTCAAGATCCCTCCGCTTTATTATGCCGGATAATTTAGGTTCTACTGTACAATGTAAACACTGTACTGTAAAGTATTGTAGCCTACGCTACTTTAATTGTGTTTTAATGATGTCAAACCCCGACCTATATTGACCAACGCTGGTTCTGAAACTCGACTTAGCGAATTTTCTGCAAACCTAACCTCTATATAACGAACCTCTTTTTAACGAAATCCTTGATATAACGAATATTCAGTTCGGTCCCTTCAGATTCGTTATACTGAGGTTGGACTGTACCCTATTATTTGTATTCACACAAATGTTGTCTTCACTTAAAACTGTAGGTTAAAAGTGATTATGAAGCACGCGAATCGATACATATTTTCGATACATGCAATCGTTTACAATCAAAATTTACAACTGAGTTGACAACTGCTGATTTTTACTCCATAGAGGCTAAAAACGATTTTTACTCCCTAAAGAGTAAAAATGCTACTTTAACGCATGCATTAAAAACGACTGTTTTTACTGCAGTATGACAAAAACAATATAATATGAACCCTTGATGACTCCGCTCAATTTTGTGGATGCCTCTGCGAACGCCACCTAGTTCTTTATTTACAAAGATTACAATTACCTAAAACCTAACTAACCCTACCTAAACCTAGCTAATGCCTATTATAATTTACAAAGCTTCTACTTACAGCTAGCCTTTACAGGATTTATCACTACTCTGTCACTACACTGACACTACACTCTCACTACACCGTCACTACACTGTCACTGTCACTGGGCATTCACACCGGCGGGCGGTCGCTGCGATTATCCTCGGACTCGACTTGCAGGACTCAACTCAACTGCCGTGTGCCGGAAGACGGTCCCTTATATAAGTTTGCCGTAGAACATTCTGGAGAGCCCAAACAAAGCTGTTTACAGATCGCCGTGGAAGCTTCTGGTAGATGTCAAAGGCCCTATTGACGTAGTCCGTTAACATGGGTCTATTGTCTATCACTGGTGCGCTCGGAGAATCCCGTGTTGACAAACAACCCTTTGGGACGGCGCCTGGCTATTGTTGCGCGGGGCTCCTGACTTGTAACACTATATACCTGATTTTGATGCTGAGGCAGTTGAGAAAGTTCAGGATGATATCAGTGACTTATTTATTCAGATTAAAGTGATTGTGAAACCATATAAGAAGGAGTCTACTCCTACACCTGCTCATGTGAATACTTCTCCTTCTAAGGCTCTAAAGTTACCTCCGCTCACTTTAAAAGCTTTTAGTGGGTTACCCAACCAATGGATTTCAAGGTTTGTTTGAAGCTTCTATTCACAAAAATGAGAAATTAAATGATACTGAAAAGTTCCAGTATTTGATTACCTCACTTGAAGGGGAACCATTGAATTTGATTAAAAATCTTCCAATTACAGCAGAGAATTACATGGTCGTCTGGGAGTTGCTAAAAAATAGGTACCAAAATAACAGGAGGATGATCATTCATTATGTTAATAACCTAATTGACCACTCTAACATAACTAGTGGTAATAGTAAAGCCATCAGAACCTTTTTATCCAAATTTCAGGAAATCACTCAGTTTTTGGAAGCTCTTAAGCATGAGGTAAGAAAAAACAATATAATTTTGTCTACTATGTTGTTGTGCAAGCTAGATGGAGAGCTACGCAAAAAATTTGATGGTAGGGAAGACACTCAGAAAATCCCCTCTGTAGAAGAAATCGTGTAATTTTCAGAAGATGAATGTACTCATATGATTTTTGACTCTCTACTGTGTATATATCCGGTAGCGTAAACATACAATTTAATCATTTCTTTCCAAACCATTTTGTAGAGTTTAAAAAAATAAATAATTTTGTATATTGAAGCGTTGTATGCCCAACGGTTACGTAGATAATTTTAAAAATTGATCATTTAAAATTCCCATGTTATTCTTAGGAGAATAAATAAACTGTTATAGTTTGCTTGTTTATGGATATATTTAAACCAAAATTTGAATTTTTTTTTATATTTTATACTATAAAAAAACACACCTTAATATCTTCCTTGTAGCAGCTAAGCTAAGTAGGCCTACTCACTAAAATTATTGTTATTTAAATAGGAAATAATTCAAACAATTTTTAGGGAGTATTTTAATGGAAATCCAGCCAGGTAAATGGAAATTCCCTTAGTCTGCAGGTTAGCTGCGGCGGGGGTATATAATATTTTTGCTTTACTACAATACCTTATGTTGAACAGCGCCTCATGCAATTCGTACTAAGTAGCCTTATAAGTTGGCCTAGCCTTAAAGAAAGATATTTTTTTAAACAAAGGGGTCCTATTGGGATTTTGTTTCTAAAACCAAAGGGGAATGTGTAACTAATTTATACAACAGATTTAAAGATCAAATTTTTCGCTTCAGTGTCCTCTCTATAGTGAAGCACGGGTGCACGCCCCTGATCAGCTGACATATATTGTTTCCTACACAGTTTAGTGTCATTAGGAATTTATTGTGAATTCTTGGGCGACTAAATTAATAGCATCACCACCTACTAAAACCTATTTAATTTGTTTATAAAAATTCAAAGTTTTAGTATGCTTTTGAAAATTAGTCTTTCAACAGTACACAACCATTGGGTCTCAGCACAGGCTGAATGGAACGTTACATTGGTTAAGCATTATGATTTTATGTTAAATAATACTTGCCTTGGAGCTAGATTCACGGGGCAGAAGAGTTTCAAAGATACTGCGGTTTCTGTTGTGAGCATCAATGTCGACGTAAATCACTGACCAAGAAGCTCCCTTCTCACCAAACAGATTACAACCATTGATAGCTTCCAAAGCACTTTTGGCCATTCCAATAGAACTGTAATAATATATTAGGTAGTGTAGTGTATCATGACTTCTAGATTCAAATTGTTGTAAATACCTTAATCTTACACTAGAGAACCTGTTGCTCGAAATCGAGCAAAACTGCAACTTGTAATAAAATAATGAAGGACAAAAAACATAAACAGCAAAACCTCAATCTTAAAGTCACTCCAAAGTAATTTCTATGACTGATTACCAGTACGACACGTACTATAGCATTGTTAAATAATTTTTACGATATGTTAAGTTTTAGGCGTGTTTAAATTCTGTGCCTCCATCAAAGTCTTCGGTTGGGAACATAAGAGTGGATTTAACGACGTATCTAGAACGGATTCACTTCTAACACTATTAGTTTTTGAAAATAAAAATAAATAAACACTCACCAGGTGGTGCTCCGTTTTCAGCTTTAAAATAGCTGCGACAATTAAACAGGTACTCATAATAAATAATCAAAATACAATGATGGTAAATAGCATCATTGTAGCGAGGGAAGTCATTTCTTTTGTCTCTTTTACAATGCACATAAGAATCTAACTTGACTCCTCGGAGCTCTCGTCCCTACAAATTTCTGCCACAGTTTTAAAAGATTGGGCAAATGGGTTGGCATTGTGACCCTATTTCCCGCAAATTTGTTCATTGCATTTTTTGTTTGAATTTTTTTACATGCGCTGTTGGGTTCCAGTGCCAACATCGTACTTATAGATCTGTGCGTAAACAGGATCATGACCTTCTTGAGGCATTATATTACCTACTCGGTGGTAAAACTTGTCATGGATCTTGAAATTGTAGCCCCTGTGTAACCCTCTCGTCAAAATAAGCTTCAGAGATAACCATGGCAAAGGCAGAATTGAATTAACAAATTTTATATAGATAATTTCTGGATCCAAGCCTCACAGCCCTGTTTTCAGATTTGGAGTTTCCAATAAGTTCCTGAAAGTATGGCAAATGAGGTAAACGAACCTTTCATTTATGGCAACAAAGAGTAAAAATTGAATTGTCTCGGCCAGTCTTTTCTTGCTTAAAATGTTTAGCCACTACAATGTAAACATTTAACGTTCATTTGTCCGAGATTGGATGAATCACCACGGCGGTACTGCCACTCTGTATCCGTCAAATTGGGAGGTTGATAGCGGTCACGTTTGCGTTCCCTCCAGCCACTCAAAGTTCTTCGTCTTACTAGTGGAATTTAATTTTAAATTTAGATAAAATACAAAATTTAACCAATCAACAGAAAACACTACAAAGGAATTTTGATACACATTGTAAATAACATGATAATATGGTAATGTAACGGGTAACTGCACTGTGAATAATCACTTCCAAACATTCACTTAATCACACCAAACTGTAACCGTAACTAAAACTACATGATAATTCAGTAAAATACGATGTAAGGTAAATAAATTCTACTATTACAAACTATTTGTTGTCAGGTCCTGCTAGGAAACTCTTTATTTATGAACCAGACTTAGTTAACAGATGTTTAAATAAAAATATAAAATTCCGGCTTTGCTCTGGAAGTAATTAAGTCATGCAGTCTGTGGTTAAACTATTTCAAACTACGTCCATATGTTTAGTTGTAAACAAAGGGAATTGAGGTTGATGGTTTGATATAATGCCAACAGATAGCGCCGCCGTTCCTAAACTTTAGCCCTTAGCTGTACTTAAGTGATGTCCTTTCTTAATATTCTGATACGTATTTGCACATCTTCGTGAAATACCTTTAATTTGATACCTCAAACGTTAAAATCCGCCAAGCCGTTATCGAGTTATGACTGTGAAAAGAAAACTGCTTGCGTATTAATATATAGATTAGCTTAAAACCCAGAAGGAAAACTGTATTATTTATGTTTGGCTTAGCTAATGCAATGTATTGTCAACTTAGCTCAATAAAATGATTTGATTTGATTTGATTTAGATGGAGCATAGTTAAATTTCATATTAAGCACCCACATTACATAAAGAGGTACAATGTTTATGCAAACAAAAAACTCAATGAAAATTTTGGATGGAACTGTTATGGATAGAACGATAGTTTATTGATGGTACCCTATTCATTATAAAGCAAAGAAGGGGTTCATATATATTTTTTATCAACCTGGGCCCTGTTTCATATAGATACTAGTCTAGTAATTACTAGTCTAGTAAATACTAGTCCCGTATTTACCTGTCCTACTAATTTGTGTTTCATAAACGTTTTTATACCGCTAGTAAATACTAGTGTATTTTACTAGTCACATGACCAAAACTACTAGTCACGTGACCAACTTTACAAGCTAAACTTTCAAAACAAATTTCTAACCTCAATCACGGGTTTTCAAACCCTTTATAAAGGGTTTTAATTTTGTTTTCATTTGATACAAAAAGTAAATAGTTGTAGAAACGCAGTGTTTTCTTTTAATTAATAAATATATAGACACATAAGTAAAACAATCACACATTATTTATCAAACCTCTATTATTTATGTTCATCAATGAGCCCGCCGATGCGGCGGCGCGGCGTCGCGTCGCTGTAATCAACACGGTGATTGTAGTAGCCGGTTATAGGCCTAGTTGCGGCGCTCAACTGTTGGGTGGAAGTTGTGATCTGTGTCTGCCGCATTCGCTGTGATTTGTATAGTTGTTGTTTTATTCTGACATATAAAATTGAGCTTGCTATGAGTAAAGAAAAGAAGGCTCAAATTTTGAATGTAATTAAATCGTCTAAGGACATTTTATTAGGAATGTTTTCAAGTACCCTAACCTATGTTTTCAAATATTCGAATGCATAAGAATATTTGGGTTGAAAACCATTCTGTGATATTCTAATTTTGAGTCTACAATCCATGAATAATAAGCCTAAACGTTTATTGATGTAACAAATAATTGCAACGCCGTTACAAGCAATGGAGAAGTAGGTTTTCAAGTATAGTAAAACATGGCATATGCGCTATTGCAGGGCGTAGCTCAGAGGTGGAGTTTTCGCTTCTCATGTGGTGGGTACCTTGTTCAAATCCGGTCACTCACTATACTTTAGTTCCATTTATTAAACTTTTACATGTTTTACATTTAAATAACAGCTCTAATCAACATCTATTTTTTTTATTACTTTGAATAACAAATTCAGAATACCAAAATGGATTAAAAGTAATGTTTTTATGGTAAGCAGTTCAGTCCAACGCCCAAAAATCAAATATAGGCCTACAAAATTGTTAGTACATTACAGGGTTTTAGCTATTTAGGGAAACAAATAATAAGCACATAAAAAAATACAATGCAACTCCTCTTTAAAATTGTCTTACTATTATTTCCTATTAAAATGTCTTCCTATTAAAATACACTTGTATTACTAGTCCATGGACTAGTAAATACTAGACTAGTAGTTTTATGAAACAGGGCCCTGTTGTATAGACTTATACTGAGAGGATTTTACAGGGAGAATTTTAAATCAGATCAGGGCCCTGTTTCATAAAAATACTAGTCTAGTATTTACTAGTCCACGGACTAGTAATACTAGTGTATTTTACAAGTCTACGTTTCAAAAACCTACTAGTGTAAAATACTAGTTACTAGTGTAGGGACTAGTATTACTAGTGGTTTTTACTAGTGTAGACAGCAATGTGTTTCATAAAGTTTTACTCTTGTAAATTACACTGGTAAATACTTGCCATTTTCTAACAACCTCTCTACACCCGTATTATTTGAAGTAGACTAGTATTTTTGGGAAGAGACTTATTTCAATACTCACATCATTTAAAAAAATGAATTAGTGAATTCTTTTTTCAAGTGTGAATTGGCTCAAGTTTGCAATTTAAGATAAAAGTAGATCTGTGAGTGTTCTTAAAATGATAATTATTAGATGTAAATTACCTACAATCAATAAATGTGGCGTAGTACAAAATGAGTGAAATTGAATTTTATAATGTATGTACAATCGCCCTATTATAATAATTATAATTATAAGTTATCAATTTCTGTGAAATTTTAGTCTAAATTTACTTGAGTTAAATTTCATGGTTATATCAACTATTTAGTTAACACAGATAAAAGATTTTTAATCTTTGAGAGAAACCAAATTAAAACCGCATACCGTATTGCGTACAAAGACGTACAAAAATGTATCCAACATTGCAACATTAATCAGATATTTTACACCCAAGGCCCTCGGTTTTATTTAAAGACATTTTAATATGAAATAATAGTAAAACAATTTTAAAGAGGAGTTTCATTATGTTTTGAGGTGCTTATTATTTGCTTCCCTAAATAGCTAAAACCCTGTGATGTACTAACAATTTTGTAGGCCTATATTTGATTTTTGGGCGTTGGACTGAACTGCTTATCATAAAAACATTACTTTTAATCCATTTTGGTATTCTGAATGTGTTATTCAAAGTAATAAAAAAATTAGATGTTGATTAGAGCTGTTATTTTAATGTAAAAACATGTAAAAGTTTTTTTAATGGAACAAAAAGTATAGTGAGTGGTGCGGATTTGAACCAGGGACCCTACCACATGAGAAGCGAAAACTTTACCTCTGAGCTACGCCCTGCAACAGCGCATATGCCATGTTTTACTATACTTGAAAACCTACTTATCCATTGCTTGTTAACAGCGTTGCAATTATTTGTTACATCAATAAACGTTTAGGCATGGTTTGTAGACTCAAAACTATAATATCACCAAATGGTTTTTAACCCAAATATTCTTATGCATTCGAATATTTGAAAACATAGGTTAGGGTACTTGAAAACGTTCCAAAAAAATGTCCTTACACGATTTAATTACATTCAAAATCCGAGCATTCTTTTCTTTACTCATAGTAAGCATAATTTTATATGTCAGAATAAAACAAAAACTATACAAATCACAGCGAATGCGGCAGCAACAGATCAACTTTTTACCCAACTCTGTTGAGCGCCGCAACTAGGCCTACAATCACCGTGTTGATTGCAGTGACGCGACGCCGCGCCGCGCCGGCGCGTCGGCAGGCTCATTGATGAACATAAATAATAGCGG